AATTTTCTGCGAACATATAATGGATAATAAATTAGCATAAATTCGACACGGAATAATTCAGCGATTTAAATACTCAAACATGGCGAAACCCACGCAGAATCGCCACGAAATTGATTTTTCTGTCCATAATTCATGGCGGAAAAATGAAGCGGATGTATACGAACGAATTAATTATTTCTACATATATACATGAGCGTGTTTATATTTTATTTACGTGCATTTAGATTTATTTCTAGTCGGGCGGTAATTTATAACGCGTCCATAATTGCATTTCATGAATTATGATCGACGCTATCAACGTGATTTAACAATAATCGCAATGCGCGGCTCTGTGGATTGTTGTTGCTCTTTACCGGCGCGCGCGGCGTTGTTAGCGAGATGCCGAAGAGCTGTGGGCGGCCAGCCAGAGCCCACAAAGAACGCTCGAAACGCCGGGGCAATAAAAAGCAAAAGTTAAAGAGCAAAGAATCGAATCGGAATTAATGCCCGAAACACGCCGGACGATAATTCAAGAGGCGTTCCGCTATAAATAATTGGTTAATGTGTGCTTATACCAAATGATGTACAGAAAAAAAAAAACGAAAATTTTTCAAAATCATAAACATTTATTAGAAATTATTTAAATTTTATTTTTTTAGATGTTTAAACACACTGTATATTTTTTGTATATTGTTGAGGAAGCTATGACTTAGAAAAACGGAAAGTAATCTAAGTAATATACAACTAGGTAATCATAAATAGTTAATATAAATATAATGCAATAATATACATATTCCACGTTCAGAGGGCCTGTTTAAATTGTCGGAAAGCGAAAGTTCAATTAACCGTATCGAAATTTACACGTTTTGCATTCCGGCACGCGTGTTTTCTATCATTGATTGTCTTAATAATATTTTAATACTAATAATTAAACATTTCACTATCCTGCCTTATTCTGATTAACGTCAAAATAATGCATAACCAAAGTTTCACTGTCATTTAATCGCCGCAACCAAATATACACGTCTTATAAGGTAGGTTACCAACATTGCAGGCCATATAAGTTTTAGTTTTAACTAAACCGATTGACATTTAAGGAAATTTATTTGATTTCTTTTGTGAATTTGATTTGTAGCCCAAAGTTTGATTCCTTTGTAGTCTTACAACTTGAGTTACAGTTAGATTTGGAATTAGAACTGGAGCTCTGAAGCTGCTGCCGTGCTGTGCTCTTAAAACAGTTAGCCAAGTTGGTATCGCACACCTGGCTTTTAAATTTATTCGTAAGCTCGTTTCTCGCGTGTCGCGTGTGTGTCGACTTTTTGCGCATAATGCGGAATTATTGTTTCGTTTTTTTCGCCGTCGTTGTATGCATAACCGGCCTCGTAACTTATTATATTTCATATGTCCGCTTCAGCAGATAGAATTTCCATGTTAAATTGGAGTCGGGCGTTTTTTTACGCTTGATTTGTCGAAATAAGTATTTCATTTCAATAATTGTAAAAGTGTGATTGTGATATTGATATTGTTGGATTTAGTTTCGCATCGTAAAGTTTCAAAGTTCATTCAGGTTGGAAATCCAAGCAGAGGAATAGTTATAAATTGATTTACTTTTAAAATCTGCGGATTTTATCAATTTAAAAGTTCAGTTAAAAGTTTTTATCCAATTGGACGACTTTCCGATGTTGGAAACTCGTTAAAACTTTCGGTTTTAATAAATAATTGTTTATTATTCGATAAAATGCTAAAATAAAACAATATTTACCTCGTATTGGTTGTAAAAAGTGTTAAATTGCTTGAGTATTAAATATAGAAAGTGATTAAACCACATTGATAACAAAAGAAAGTGCTGGTTACTATTTTTTACCTATTAGACAGTTATTGTTTGTATAATAATATTATGGGTTTGGTTTCGGTGAAGAGAAACTAGTTCAATGATAATCACAGAAATTGGCGATTATCGCTAATAATGCGCACGTGAAACAAAGCACGCTTCATTAATTATCAGTACAGACACACGAAAAAAAGCAGCCCGCATGTTGAATTTCTCTAATTTCCATTCACCAATAACATTTCGAAACGAAGCGCGTGGACAAATTTTCAACGGAATTCAATTGATGTGATTTCCTCGATTCGAACACACCTTTTGGCTTTCGGGTGCAAGCGCACACGCCGCTGCTGGAGTAACGGTTCTCCCGTACAAGAATTCACAGATCGCCTCGCGGCTTCGGCTCGGCGTCGTCGTCATCGCCGCGCACCGAAACTGGAACCCGGCGAGCAGTGACTCGTTAGGTACCTACTACCATTTTACCTTTTATTCCCTACACTGTGTGGTGTAGGTATCGGCACGAGTTAGATGCGTTCGCGATGCACTAGATGTGTCTCTTCTCGTGTTTCGTGTATTTACCTCGAGCGAGCTCCGAAGTAAATGTACAATACATGTCTGGAATACCGATGAGGTGGCAAGAGAAGTGCCCACCGTGTTTGTATCACAAAGAAAAAACAATGAAAAAGTCACGTATTGCACGTTCTGGATCAAGTTTTGATTTTTTTCTGCTTTTTTTTTTTGCTGCGCATGCGCGAGATTAACCTAACCAATACCGTAGTGTCAAGTGGGCGGAGCACCGGAGCATATGTGCAGCATTAAAATTCAATTTAAACGTTTGATTACTGATTTACAGCGATTATTATTAAATGCAGGTCATCACAATAATATTGATTGCATGTGCGCGTGTCATTTAGCAATTAACAAGCAATTTATTCATGTATATCGTATTGTGTGCGCGAGTAGAAATCGATAAATCGCTGCAGAGACCTGAAGAGATACTAATATTTTCCCGGCGGCTTTAATTTTTATCAATTTATTTATTACCGGTCATTAAAATCACGCGGTCGGTGCGCACGCGCTTTGAAATGCAGAATCCAATCATAAAATCTCGAATTTCTTCGATTAGAATAATAGAATGATTCAATGAATATTTAGGCACGAGTTGTTGTGGTGCGCCGCTAACCTGTAATTAATTAATCGAAAGTTAATTTCTTATATTCATATAGGTAGATATTATATTCTCCAATGAATGTTTCTGTGTGTGTTTGTGAGTCTGTGGCCGCTGGTGCATGCGAGCATTTATACAATAAGTGTTCTCTTGCGCGAGAGATCTGCCCACATTTTGTCTTGCGCGCGCGCCGTGATGCATTCGGTTAGTTAGTGTCTGGCGTTTAGTTAACTAAACACACCACGGTTGTTATTATCGGGTATTATGTGGCATGTTAGATCTAATATCTTGCTGGTAATAATATGCATGTAAGCAAGCATCTCATTTTCTCTTATTTATTAGGCATTATTGGTTGCCTATTAGTAAGTACTATCATTTAGATAGTTGCGCATGCGCGTGATCCCATGTAGGCGGAGCACCAATGTACTTTTTTACGTGTAAAACTCTTTTTTCCACTCACACACGTGCTGTAATATAATAAGCAGTTGCATAACGGCACACACAATATTCCATTCAATATCCGATGGCTTTTTATTCGACGCTCAGATGTGAAAATTATCTATTAGCCGCGTATTTAAATTGCTTTTGTTTGCGGTGGCACTACACTTTCGAAATTGGGACATTAACTGAATAATCTCCTAAGGGCACACGCTGCATAATAGTAGTTATTTGTTAAGATATTAAAAACATCGATTAATTGCTTTATTTCTTACTGCATTACGTCATATTTTTGCATATAATGAGTGTAATTAATATTCTCGAGATTAATATTCCAATTGGTTATTGTTTTATTTTCTTTTCAAAGCGTCTTACCTCATTTTATCTTGAATTTCTTTTATTTGAGTTCAACTTTATTACGGCTTACGAAACGTGCTGAGACTATCATGAGTTATAGTTATAACATAATTTAATCTAATCTAATATAATATAATAAACACTGTAATAACGCGAGAAGAGGCGCATTATTCTAATGCATCCAGCACACACGATGGCAGAGTGCTTACGAAAGCGTTTTATAATTATCTCTCGCGGCTCGCACCGATATATAATATAATAATATCGCGGCCAGAACCGCTAAAACTAACACGGCGGCCGCCCGCAATTACTTGCGATGTAAAATGTTATAAAACGCTCGGCGTGCGCGCATGAGACTATAAAACAATCAGGCGTCTTTAAACAAGACGTTATGAGGCGAGAAGAAGCGCTGCATTTCTACAAAAACGAACTCTCATTACATCAAGATGATACACTGGAGATTTCTTTGTTCCGCATTAGGTGCAGAATTAATTAAGAGAAATTATTTATTATCCGTTTATTTAGCCATGATTCCTCGCAGCAGTGGAGCAGCGCGGTTATAATCGCTTTTTTTAATTAAATGCACTTGCATGCATTCATCATATTTTACCGCTCTCACAAGTATTTAACTGTTTTCTTGAATTATTGCTTTTTAATTAGGAAACACTATTAGCATTATCATTCTTATATCGAAATAATTACATTTAACGAGAATATTTTTGAATTTCGCGCTTATTTGTTACGCCACCTGGTGAGTTGTAACCGTACTAATGTATGTAGGGTTGCCTAATTATAAAAATTCGTTAGTGGTTGTTACTCGTAAGTTTTTTTTTTTTGTTTAAAAGTGTAGAACCTTAAAATCTGCTTGAAACTTGTCAAGACACTCGAAATTTTCCGCTTGCACCCTCACCGAGTACGCTTGATTATTACACAGTGGCAGCGTCGTCAAAATTTACATCCGCCGAGTGAAAGAGCTCAAAGTAGAGAGCAAAAAGCGCCTGCTTTTGATATGAGTTCTGCGTATTCATACATTTCACTCATTCATGACTCTTCATTCATTACAATCGGCTTGATTTGAATTGAAATTGTTGACGCACACTCGAAATGATTTAAACACTCGCTGCTCGCTGCTGTTTAATTCAAGTTTCTGTTTCAGGATTATCTTCACTTGGAATATCAGTGTCCCAGGCAGTCTACAATATTTTTCTCTTGGTGCCAGTGAATAAAGGTTAGTTAACAACAATAAATTTATTAATTTATAAATCATATGAATATACTGTTAATTTCGAGATTGTCTACTGCTTCCATCACGTGAATAGTCGTAAGATTCGCTACTACGATTGAAGCCAACAGAGTTAAGCATTCTGTCGGTAATGTAGAGCACATTCAAGGTTTGATTATCTTTCGTTGGGATAACATCTAGACTTTGTCCTCTTGGAGACCGGGTAAAATCAGGACCGGTTCTATATTTTGCGTTGATCAGGTCATCTAAATTGAAGATTTCGGAGCTTTTCGCTTGAGGTTGCAGCTTAAAAGGTTTCGGAATCTTGGAGGGGGTATGCTCATGCTCATTTGTTTCCAAAGATGGATTCAGATATATTCGAATATCTTTCTTTAAATTCTTATACGCCATTATTGTTTGATGAGCATCTTTTACACAATCTTTACATTTTGCCTTGAATCTGGGTTTGGAATAAGTTGAAGAAGGGAGGGGATCAGTCTGTAATTGTATTGAATATCTGAATATGTAAATTTAAGTAATTGCTATTACTTACACTCTTCGTTTTGGTTTTGACCTTTTTGGGATAATGACAAGGAGCTACCGGGTTGATGTTGGTGTTAGTAGACTTATCACTATTACAAAATAAGTAATCCAAAGAGGAACCGGCTGGTCTAGAAACAAGGGCCTTTTTGGACTTTGGTGGTTGACGTCTCACGCATTGGATACCTTTGGATATGCTTGATGTTATCGTGGCTAGATCGCTATTTGTTTGGGTTTTTATTGTGCGAAGGTCAAAAGGTCGAAGTGTTTTGGGGAAAAACGTACTGTCCCCAGTCCCGTCTATTTTTGCAAGGAAACTGCCCACATTAACATTAACATCATCTTTGCAATTTGTATCTTCATCACCATGCTTGCAATTGCTCTTCGTCTCTTGCACTTTTGAACAAGCAGGGGTTTTTTTAGACTTGTATTTTGAATGAGTCAGATGCGATTTTGTTTTCCTCTGAGACGATGACCTAACCCTCGTTGGGTCCAAAACTAATAAATTTCTGCCTTCCTCCTGTTGTTGTTGTTGTTTCAGTTTAATGATTCTCCGATATTTATTCAACATCTCATGATCAATTTTGGCTTTTGACGTTGTTTTGGGTTGTGGGCAATTAAAAGGGTTGTAAATGACCAACATAAGTAATATGGAAGAAACAATGAACTTGTATTCCGTCCATGGATACTCAATCCGAGGAGCAGACGTTGAATTCTGCATGAAAATATAATGTGGAGTGGGTTGTGCTGATCTGTAACGGGTGATGAGGTCATGATGGTCGGCGGCATGGATGAAAAAAGCGTAGACGATTAAGAGTGACGTATTCCAAAAGCAGTCGACAGTGAGGCGACCTTTATCGCTCAGCAGGTTGTAGAGAATTTTGGCGATCAATGCAATCGAGACGCTTGTTGCCGGCGTTAAAATTTCGGCTCTTTCAATGCGCCACAAACGCATACAGAGGAGGAAAATGCAAAATCCATTGATAACTATCCAGAAAAAGACCTTAAATATCAAAATTATTTCAGTATTTCAACATACTTACTGGAAACTGATAAAACTGCAACGTTTCGATGCATTTTGAAGCGTTTTCAAATAACCCAACACAATCACACACACATTGTTAATTTAATCTGATAACATCAAGATGTTACTCACGAGGATCGTTGATTTGCGCATGATAAACGTGATTCCTATGACATTTGTAACATTATTTGACTTCATCGTGGTTGTCATGGTAATCATTACACAAGCCCACGTTCAAAAAATTCGAGATAATTAAGTTTGATTAATTAATCGCCGGTTTTTCAATTTTTCGAGGTGTAATTTATGCGCTGGAATCAGAAAAACCCAAAACGAAAAGGAGGTTTCTGTTTTTGTGATTCGCTCGCGATCGCAGCTTGATTTATCGTTGATTTATGGTAAACGTTTTCGGTCTAGCCGCCCGCCGTGGCATTCCTTGCTTTCCCGCCGGCTGATCACCACGTCGCTAAGCAACCCCCAGCCGCCGCATGTAAAATGTATTCACGTGCGAGCGAGACGGTGGCAACTTTCAAAACAGTCCGAGCAGGGGTCGCGAGAAGCGGACGCATGCGTCGTCCTCACATCTACCAACACTAACTGCCACCGCCGGCGGCCCCCAAACGAATCGATCGAATTACAAAAAGGTGTTTCTGCCGGCCCCGGTGTGTGCGCGCACGCCATACGGCCGTCAGTCGTGTTTACGTTGCCGGCACGCACGCGACGGCTTAGAAAACTCTCGAAAAACAACGAAAAACACTAAAAAATTGTTTCGTTTTATTTTTTCTTATTCAAATCTTTCATCTTCACTTGGTGCTTTTCGATGGTTGTCACCGGATGGGAGTGCGTGGTGCATCATTATTGTATAGACGTGTGAAAGTGCGCGCAGCCGGTCGAGATTTTGTTGCGGGGGCGGTTGAACTCGCTTAATGTATCGCCGGGCGTAGATTGTGCAACGCAGCATCCGAGTCGAGACATTTTTCCGCTTGGTCTCGTGTGAATTTTCACGCAATTTTGATATTATCTACCGAAATAATCATCGCGCACGTCTTACTACTTTTACTTGATCATCACGCCGAATTACGCGCATAACACGCGCTTAATTGTTAATCAATTTATAAATAATCAATATATACAGCACTTGGAATTAACGAATTTAAACTAAACATATTTGTGGTGTAAATAAATGGAATTTTAACTCAAACAACGTAAGTCTCATAAATTTCAGAAATTTTTGCTTGTTATTTATATTTTTATCTCGTATAAAATATATTGTAATAAGTTATAGACGTTTATAGGCCGTATTTGTATCAATAACGAATATGATTTGTTGGAGCCGCTCCGATCGCCGATCATAAAGCATTTATATTGTGCGTTGGACTTCAGAGTGCCTCTTGCGTCTCTAGCTCTCTTGTTTATACCTTTCGAGGCTCGCATATTCTCTTAACCTACGTTTTCCTCCCGTCCGCCATCGCGGCGCGCGGTTATTGTTATCGTCTGCGACGTTGATTTGTGACACTGCGTTTGATTTTAATTTCGTGCGGGACGCCTACTCGAAATCTTGTGCAATACAATATCAAACATTAGTAGCGCCGTGGACCTTTGAAAACACGTTTTTAATTGAGAAAACAAATTGCGGAAATTGTCCAATGCTCGATTCATAATTTTAAATCACTGCAGTGCATTTCATAATATCATGGAATTTTTGACCAAATGGTTTAACAATTCACTTATAGATTACTAGCTTTAACCCGCGGCTTCGCTCGCGAATATCTAAAATATCGAAGTTGATTCCGTACGCGTCTGCAGTCACAGAAGAAGTAACAATGAAGTAGAATGGCGGGAAGTTTAAAATGGCTGAAAGTATAGTCTATGGAAGTATAGTGTACAGTCTCCATAGTGTAGTCAATTGGATTTGATGTTGACGTAGATGTCGGTAATACAGTGTGATAATACATTGTGATGGTACTATAGTACTTAGGTTTGAGCTTCATTGCTGGAATGCTAGATGGCGTTAAAGTAGTCAAATAGCCTGATGCAGAGGTATTATTGGCTAAACAATTTCTTTATTTTATTTAAAAAATAATTTTTTTTATTAAATAAAAAGTAGCCTATAACCATTCGGGGACCACTAAGAATATGTGTACAAATTTTCATGATGATCGGTTAAGTAGTTTTTGCGTGAAAGTGTAACAAACATCAGGACTATCGCATTTATAATATTAGTAGGGATATTCCTTATATTGCTGTCAGTTTTGAATTATTTCGATAAATACTCGGGTCATTGGCTTGGTATTCGATTACAAAACAGTGCTGCAAGAAATAAAATCAGTTTTTCACGCTGCGCGTTGAAAAACAACGAAAAAAACAACATTTCCTCGGCGACTAGACCAGAAGGCCGGAATCTGCCCGGTGCATCTCGTACAAAACCGCGCGCGGAGATGATGGAGGAGTCATGCACTTCATGCAGGATGGTCAGAGGCTACTAATATAAACTGTAACCATCCGAGGTGTATGCACTTTACTATTTAATAAGACCTATAAGAATTTTATTCCTATACTGATTGTAACATAAACTCCACTTTATTCCATAAAAATCTTGTGTTAATTACAAAAAATATAAAAAATCTTAGAAAATGCAAGAATCTAATCAAATTTGCTGGGGAATTATTGAAAGAAATGCGTTTTATATCAGGAAATGAGCTGTTTTTGCGCTTTACAAGTGTGACACTAAGTAGCGAAAAGAAAATCCAAAGGCGTCATCATCGTATCATCATCATCATCATCATTGCGCTCGCGTTTATTCCTTTTGTATTTGCATTCGCCTTTGTTTTGTTCTGCTCGCTTTTTCACCTGGCGCGCGGTTTCACGGTTTCGAGTTCAAAGTCTTGGGTGCGCACATGTTGCAATACAGCCGTACTTGACTTTCCTGCTTTTCTGGAGGTAATTCATGCTTTTTCTGCGCGAGGAAGAGAATATTTACATAACTGTCTCCCGGTATGCAAATCGCACTTGATTATCATAAATATGCATCAAATGAAAGTAAAAATATTGCCTTTTAAAGTGTTTATCAGTTTACAAAAGTTTAAAGCTTTATTTTTATTTTCTTTTAAAGTGATGGATGATTTTAGGCATTCAATAGGTGCATCTTGAATAAAAATTCATGCGGGAGAAGATGCTGTGCCCTTCTGCTTTTGGTGGCGTCTTAAATGTACGTCGTTATGTGAGCCAGGTAATAAATGAAAATGCACCGTGCACGAAAGTGAAAGTACACGGTATGACACGCGCTGCGATGCGTTTTCGGCCCGTCTCGTGCATTATTTACGCATTAATTCATCGTTTCGATGCGTGACGTCCTTCGTGCGCTCGCGTTTTCAATTTGTGTTACACGGAAAATGATCTGTGGAGCTTTGAAAGCTTTCAAGGTTAATGCCATTGTAATAAATTGTTATGTCACGATTTAATCTTGGAATTTTCTTGCATCATGATCTAGATTTCTAGATAAAACTAGATCTTTTTAAAAATCAATTTAAAAAAATGAATTTTAAGAATATTTTCGTAAATTTATAAATGATTTATCACTGTTGGTAAAATGATTGACATCAATTTTTCTATTTTTATAGTTTCTTCTCCTCTTTTCTTGAGATGCATTATCAATGATGGATTATTCGATCGATTTCTTATATTTCAATTTTATTTCCTTGGATATCCCGAATGTATTCAATGTTTAATGGTCAAACGGTCAACTTTGAACGCTCAAACATCCTGAAGGGTGATCCTAATAGCCATGCGGGAAGGGTGCACCGCTCGTAACAGTGATATCCGCTTACATTTATCTAACTTTTACCTATCTAAACCGACCCCTCTATGATATCTATCAACACAATAACGATCAATACCTATCATCGGCCGTTTCCTGATATCGTAGGTTTTTCAATGTCACTGTGGTTCCTACATTTAGGGGAGCTGTGAGAGTACACGTGGATGCATTTCACTTTCACCCTAATTTTATGTTTCCTTGCTTATTTTTCTTGTGTTTGGACAACCCCTGCGTTATATTTCGGCGCATCTTTTTTGGCACACCCTCGCTTTTTTTCTGACAATGTATCGGTGTTTTAGTTTCAACACCTTTTTAGTTGGCTTTGTTATCTTGACATTTTTGTGCACAAGCGGAGGGTGTTTGTGTTTTATTCGCGGCTTTTATATTTGCTTGTTTTATGTACTGTGTGTGTACCTGGGTTGTTGTACAGGAGATCGTTAGTAGAAGGGAAAACAATCTTTGTGAGGGGTTGTGTGGCACGTGCCTACGGTCGGCGGAATTTATATTCTATATTTTTTCTTCTAAAAATAAAACCTGTGAAGGAAGAATTATTTTATGATGTAGTAGGGTCCCCTTGTGACTTTGCTCGTAATGGAGAAGAGGATATACTTACCTGCGGCGTTACATGGTGGCGTACTTCCCCCTCCACTCAATGCGGATCGAGCGCGTAGTGTGCTTACTTCTCCCTCCACTTTTTGCGGGTAGTCCGCAGGTATAAAAGGGGAGCGCGCAGTGCGCACCGCGCTCAGTCGTGCCTGAGTCGTCCAGTTATCCATTCACAGCTCGCTAAGTTCTCCCCCCACTCTTTTTTACGGGTTTATCAGTTCTGTTATGGTTGTACATGTTCGTTTCGCTGCATTAGTATTGCAATTTCTTGTATTATTAGAACATTACATGCGCCGCATGTAAATATACATATCCAATTTGATATTCTTTGGAAAAGTTTCCGTTTGCATGTTTATGCTAGCAACACATCCTCTGAATCTTGAAAGCCGCGAAACATTTTAAACATGTTCGCGAGCAAAGCCGGAATTTACTCCAAATCCGCCCTGGGGCGTCGAAGGAAACTTTGGGGATAGAAGCCGTCTTCTTTCCCCACAACTTTCACTCAAAATTCACTCTCGCGAATACTTTCCTGCATGTAACAGACGAAAAAATAAAAGCGTATTTTCATCACGTTCAATCTGACATGTTTCCAATTTAATGTAACAAGAAACTTGTTTTAAAATTGACGTTTTCCAAGAAAAAGCTGCGGCAAGCTTAAAATCCAAGCTGCGGTTTGATTGTTGACAATATAATTGCCTAGTGTGTTTAGTAAGTGGCAAACAGCATCGATTGCGATGAGCGTCGAAATCGAATGTGAATGTGAACGAAGTGTAGGACGTGTTTCTGACACGCGCTGCCAACGCCGTCTGAATAATTCAAGCCTCTCATCGTTACTGTTTCTTATGCTGTGGGTTTCTCCCCTGGTTACGCCAGCTTTCGCCTTCGATGAGCATTTTTTTTTCAGATATTTTCTGAATCCAACTAAAAACAATTGTATTAAATTTGTTTTCACTGAAAAGTTGATCCGAAAATAATTGGATCAACAAAGTTGAAACGTTAAGTTGATAAAATATGCATACTAAGTGGATAGAGTTAAACCAACAAGGCGAGAGAGGTTATGTATGTGTATGTGGGTAGGGAGAAAGAAGGGGATGCATCCCCTTTTGCCAGCAGCCTCTCTCATATCGATCAAACCGGCGCCGGGTGAACTTGCATGGACTTTTCTAACCCGCCTGCTAAATTCTACGATCCATCTATATATGACTACGTCTAGAATGTTGTGCCACTAGCAGTCTAGCAATTTCCACATCTCAATTCGCATCCCTCGCATTTCTCTCACAGTTCAACAGTGTTGTACGCGCGTTGCGTTGCCAGGACAACCTTCAGACGCCACCGCTTTTTACCAACCCCAAGTCTCACCGCAGGACGTGCAGAAAAGTACGCGCAAAGTTTTTCTTTACACAAACACACACACACACACACACAGACAGGGTGTTTTGACGTCTTGCAAACGTAGGATGATAAATTTACGAAGCAAGTTGTTTCACATTTCGGGAGCCGTGAGCTTTTCATCGCAAAACTTTATGACAAATATTAAGTGGTCGGTTGCGGATAGTGTAGGAGGACATAAAGTTTTTATTTTTCATTAAATTTTATTATTAGAAGGATAATAAATTGTTTAAGTTGGAGCAATTTATTAAACACCTTGTATATTTTGTTCATTTATAATCCACTTGACGCTTTCAATTTGCGTTACTTTTTTTTCTGCGTGAGCGATCATACGTCTTCTTCACATTTGTTTTCTCGTAGAAATTCTGGACGAAAAAATTAGTGAATTTAATTAACTTCACTTTGTACCATAAAAATCTTGTTATCTCAGGTGAAATATGAAAATATTTTTTCTTTAATATTTAATATTTTCTCTGACTTTATATTATGTCTATTGTGTTTTTTTCTCGTGAATTTCGTAGGATTTCCTGCATTTTTTTTTCATTTTTATATTTTAATATCGTCCTGATCCGGATCCCCTGGAGCTTTCGTAAAATGTGTAACACGAGACCAATGGAGGTGTACTCCACCCTTGGAAGAAAATAGGAAAATGAAAAGCTCGCTACACAACGGGCATGTTGCTTTTAATTAATTATTTCCTAAACAGATCAAGGCTAGCGAATCGGCGGAACCCTCGCGCATTTAATGGCTCGAGCGTAAACAAAGAGGGGCGGCGGGATTTAATGAAGAGTTATGGAGCGTTATAGGTTAGGTTATAATACGCCACCGTGTTCCGCCTTTGGCACGTGGGGGAACCATTCGAATGGTAATTGTAGTGTTAAAGTAATTGAAGTTTGTGGAATCATTTGCCATTGCTGCATATTCACGCATTCATTTGTTGGGACACGTTTTGTGTTTGGAGGTATGTTTTCCTTTGCACGCTCTTCATCCATGCTATTCATCCCACACGCCATCCAGTCATCATCACTGGGCGACACTTGCCAGAAGTTGTATATTTATGAAGAATGTGCACCTCTCTCAAAAGGGGGGAGCTAACGAAGGGTTAAAACCTTTCAAGGGGATGCATGTGCGTTCAATTCGTAATTTGCGAAATGCCTTGACTGGAGTATGTGAGCCTAATGACGGTTGCAGTAGGTAGTATTTCTTGTCATAACAAGCATGTTTTGTGAATACTGTGTTATGCTTGACGTGATGAGATCCGTAGGTAAGGGTTGTCGGACTTGCGTTGGACTAATAGGGGCGTTCAATGCAAGCTTGCGTGACGTATCTTTGTTTTGTTCGTTTTCGTCAAGACGCGTAAGTGTTTTGCTTGTCAGACACCTAATGCCTTGATGTAATCGTTAAGTATCACAAGATGGTGGACTGGTGTGCGTGACGACCTGCTCGCCCTTTGTTGTTCTCGCCATTACACCGAGCATTACGTAATTAACGCTGAACTAGTGGTGCAATTCACATCACATACAGGTTGTAACGGATATAAACAACAAGGGTTGGGCAAACAAGATCTCCGAATGTGATAATTTTTTATGATTTGTAACATTCACTGCACTCCCTCTTCCGGTGGCTTTGTGTTGGTATGATTTATGACTGCGATGTGCGAACGGGGAATGCAGATTATCGACATTATTGAGCGGGGCACATTGATGATAATGCTCGCTGGGCTGATTCGACCAATTTCGCCACTCTTGGAGAGTTGTCGAGTTGCATTCAATTCAACGCGGGCGTCGCTTTGATGCTGACTGTGTTTCCGTACGCCCCCCTTGCATAGCAGTTCCAGGGCGATCTCTTCTCGCTCGATGCTCAGCTCGGGTGGGAGTGGTCGCCGCCGCCGCCGCTGCCGGGCGTTCTCTCCCGTTGTGTGTTGTGACGGAATCTGGAGCATTGAACTCTGGTACATGTGAACTTCCGCTTCCCGGTCCGCCACCAACACGGACTCCTTCATAAAACTGTAACTGCTAGTCCATAGTATCACCAACACTCTAACACCAGGAACAAGGAGCAAGAAACTTCCACAACCTACAACCTCCACTGGATAGTAGATAGCTATAACTAGCTGGAGGTTGTAACAAACGCAAATTTACTGACAATGGCGAAATTGCATTCGCCAACCACCACTACTTCGGATAGTAGAATCTAGGATGACAGAAGGAATATCAACATCCTATATTATCATGTATCCATGTATACTGATGCAAAGTAGCATCCACCACTAACCCGACTATTACCTACAGTGGGGCAGGGAGCGGAATCAAATTGACAGGAAATAGACCGGCACTGCGGCACAACAAACAAGCCGCCAAAAGGGATTCGCTCGAGCAAGTTTATTGGCGTAAACGAATGCCAGAATATCAAAATGTCAGGAAGTGTCTTGCGGGAAGAGAGCAACTTGCAAGAAATTTATATTGCACTCGGCGTCGTAAATATTTCGGAATTGGTGTTAGAAATGCAATATATTACGTGGGAAGCTTAAAAATTACTAAAGATGACATTTATTGCACTTGCGGTGATAGTGGTAACAGCAGGTACAAATGATTTTCCTGACTTCGGGACATCCTTCCTCACAGTTTGACCTATATACGAGGATATTAAGGAACTTTATTGCAAACTGACTCTAATCTTTCTTTTTCCACATTTTCAATCTCTGTAATCGAAAATATTTGTTGCAGGTGAGTTCCTCCTCTCAATGGATATGTGTACGGAATTACAACAACTCACACATGGGGGTAAGTCATCACTCATCATCAACGCGCATGACAACGACGCCGAGAATTAATATTTCTTGTCGCGTTTGGGTTCTCTCGTGGTAAGGATGTCAATGCACTTAAACTTGGACGTAAATTACGGCCTACCCGTAGGCGCGCGCACGCGCACACTACTTACCTTGAGGTTTACCTTGCGACTACGCACGCGCACACCACTCAGAGATTCTAGGCGTTGTGTGTGTGTGTTCGCGTTTTATTTTATGCGCTTTTTATGCGTGCATGGCGTCCACACGCTGCCCGGTGATTATGTTTATGCATTATGTTATGCGTTTGTGCGACCTGCGCGCGAAATGGCGCCCGGCCGTGCGGCGCAGACGTGAAATGCAAATTCTGGAACGTAAGCGCTCGTAAACTGCACCGCATACCGACGCACCACATGATTATGTCCGTTTGCAATCGAAGAATCTAGGAATCTGAATATTTTCAGTGGAAAAATTTTCATTCTTCAAAAATTTATTTTCTATGGTTTCGGATTTGTTTGCGCACGTATTGTATACATGCTTGCCGTAAACTATGGAGATTATTACAATCGCAGTTGTTCCTGTTTGACTCTCGTTAGTTATTGTCGGGGTCGGGCGTAATGCAAAATATGGATTATGTGCACTATGCTGCACGATGATGTTTTTGCATCTCTCGTGGGCAAGCTTTTTCTCTAGGCAAAAAGTGCGCGCTGCGAGTTACGGAGCCGCTGCCTCGCCGTTTCATTGCTCGCCGCTTCGCATTATTATGATTATGGTATATTTGTACGAATCGCCCCGCCGCTATTGATTCATTATTTATGGAGTCCGCGGACACGGCCGTTTCGCCTTTAAAGGCATCTCGGACGCTGCGGGACATGAAATATTCGCCCGCGTGCGTCGACTCGGACTGGATTCTTATCATCTACAGGACAATTCGGAACATGAAAAACTAATCCCGGTAAAAAAATTTTTTTTTTGCATATTTTGCGTTTATACCTACTCAGTTTTCAATTTCGCTACAATTACATTTGATACCTACTTTGCAGTTTTTTGTTTGTGCTGCGCATGCGCGCGTGTCTTTACTGCTCGTCTCAACTGCGAACTGATCTTTTGCTGATTTAACGCCGACTACCGGTGCTACTACTATAGCAATTCGTAGCGTAGTTTAGAATTTCGTTTTTCTCAACATCGCGCACCTCGCAGAGAATATCTCCGCCTGCTTATCGCTTTCCGCCGGTCGCATCTCGACGTGTAATCATACCCGGTTGCGCCTCGCCTACAGAACGATGTGCGATACCATCCGCAAATGCACTTTTTCGCTTCGACACTAATTCATTTCGTGTGCGCACGTACGCAAAATGCACTTGAACTTGACACTTTTAACGATTCGGTTAATTACGCGATTACCAGAAGCACACAGCACTGTCGAGGTTTTCGATTTCATGATATTGTGTAGAAATGAAATCCGACGCTAATGACGCTTGCGCGGGTTGGGCGCAAAGATTTTTATTGACAATATATATATCCGAGAGTGTTTAGCGTCTTTAGCATGTGACCTCTGGAAGGTCAGCGGAGTTATTCAATACGCGCGGCGTTAGAATGGTTTAGTATTCGTGGCGAGATGTAGAAGATCTGGACGGCCAAATATGGCCGAGCCATTAGTAACATGCCATCGGGCTCTCCGCGCACCGATAGATATTTTCCAACTTCTTGTGCAATATTTCAGTTCGATATTAGTGCAGCGCGTGAATTCCGATGATGCAATGTTGCGTTAACGAATCGAATGATTGAATTTCGATTTCCTAGTAAATTTTTAATGATGTAATAAATACCCTTGTGGTACATGTGGCGAGGTTTTTCGTGTACAATTGGTGCAATTGCACTTAATACGGCAATTTTTCGCACGAAAACCGTGCATCATCGTGATTGTATCTGCAGCCGGCACGAAAACCCTGCTCTCGTGGAAATGTACAAGAAGCGCTACAGGGAAAAATTATATTTAATTGAGACGATCCGGGACGCTAACTAAGCATCAGGAAAACTTTGGACCTACACATCGAAAACACTACTAAAGAAAGTAGAGAATAATCTTATAAAATACAAATTCATTTCGTAAAGTGCACGATACAAAAGTTTTTAACTTTTTTAACTTAATATTTGTAGATATTTTTTGCTTGTATTGTTTTCGAAACCTCCTGGTATATTTATTTTGTATTAGCAGCTAGTATTTAATGTAGAGATCGTGAGCGCGTTTGAGTCACGCCGCTTGTGCCACCAGAGAGCTGGTGCACCACCTTCTTTCTTCTCCGCCAGCTGAAAAATCTCCGTTCCGTCGTCCGACTGCGGCAAACAAACACGAAGCAAAATTAAATTACGCAATTACACTGGAGCGAAGTGTGTTATTAAATTACAAAGTTGTCTTAACTTCCAATCACTTAATTACAAGATTGCCGCATGGTGAATCTGGTCTAAAAATTGGTCAATCATAATTTTAAAAATTAAAAAATTTGAAAATTCTGTATTACCCTGTGTTTTTCTTCTAACGCTTGAATTAAAAATTCAAAACGCTATCTTATCGCGGCGTCGGCACTTTGCATTCTCGAAGGTGTAAAATTTTAAGATCAAAGTTTGCTTTCCTCCGCACGACGCCGCGCGGATATATACTTAGCGGCGGGCGCAACACGCTTTTATGCATAAATACATATAATGCCCGTATTCGTGCGCCGCAATGAACGTGAGTAATGCGAAAATAACCGAAAGCTTAATATTAATAAAAGTCCTGGTGTGCGCCGTGCGCCGGACCGCGGGCTTCGCACCTCTCCTCTGCGCTCAGCTCAGCGCGATGATCATGCGCACGAAACGGCTTCGCACCTACCTTCGTCTTCTGCTTTGCGCTCCGAGGGCATAATACATACATTAGGCGTTAAACGTCGCCGTGGAAAATCGTACACGCGAACCCACGAATTCGTAGCCGGGCACAACGAGCACAACCAATGTAAATACGCTGCGGCTGCGCACTATGCGCACGCTGATGATGAGAATAGGCGCGAAGTGAACTTTATGGTCATTTTGTGTGTGCGTGTGTATGCGCGCGCGAGCTTTGCATTCTCTAATTTTGTTTTCCGTTGCTTTTCGACGCGGGACCAACTTTTACGCACCGCTGTGATTTGCCTTTAAAGGAAGTTTAATTTCAAACTTTTCTCTGCACGTTTCTGCATTATTTCCACATAATTCTCGAAATGCGCAAAGTTTTGAATTGGTACAACGGCGAAATCTTGCGTTTGTATCATAACAAAGCACTTAATTATACAATTTTCATTTGGAGAATAGTTATTTATGCTTGGTCATTAAAATTGCATATTTTATTGCAACTGTTATTTAATTATCTCTGCGTATTACCACAGACTGTCAAAAAGTGGTAGAAATAAATTCTAACCACAAACGTGGTGCAACTGTCAGTTTTATTACTTTTTCGTGCATACAAAGTTGCATAAACTTTAATGTGATTAACTTAATCCAATTTGAAAGCCAGAGCTCATCCTTAGAAATTCCCACCGAAAAATACCAGCAAGTTAAACTGAAATTTCCTGGAAGATTTCTTAGATATTCAAAGCATGCTTAAACGCATTATGCACTTTGATATCTCCTGAATCATAATCTCTGAGTTATAACATCAAGAGATCGAAGAGGTAAAAACGGCGCGCTATGCAAGCGTCTACATCCGAAGGTCTGCTACGTCTTAGCCGTCGAGGTAGGAAAAGAGGGAGCGCATGCATAAACGGGCGATTAGCATGAATAAAAAAGCGTGGGCGGTTTTCAAGTACGAACTGCGCGGCTGGAATATGATAGCAACAATAAGCAGCGTGCCATTCTACGACAAAAAGACCAGGACACTCGATGTAAATTTAAATTTCTGCGTACATACTGTGTGGTCCAATAGGCATTAAAAATTTTAAAGAAAAAAAAATTAATTTTTTTAATTTAAAAATTTTATTTTTCGCTGAATTTGTGAATTTAATGCGTAGTATCTAGTAGTTGATTTGTGAGGTTATGTCTGCTTTGCGTGTGAACATCTTGTAGAAATTTGTACGTACAACTTTTCGTATTTCAACTTTTGCTTTTACGCGACGCGACGCGAGTACAATTTCATTTTATATCCGCATGTCGAAGTGCACACCACACCGCGAGCTTTAGTGCTTTCAGGGCTTTGCAGTTTTAGAGCTTTTCTTTCTGCAATTCTTCGGAATGTGCGTGCTTACGTACAGGTTGCATGGCTTTGAGGCATTGAGGCAAATGCAAGAGTAAAAAAGAATTACTACCTTAAAAGCTCTACAAGACATTAAATTTCACTTTTTCTTTAATAACTTCCAAACCATTACTTGTACCACCACCAAAACAGTTTTAAAGTGTGTATAATTAAATTCTGCATAACAATTTCTTCTTCTTGCACAATTAACATGTGTGAATTGTATAAAAATCTTCCTGGAAGGTCGTCCAACGAATTCCTAAAATGGTCGTCCGCATAAATGCATATTAAATTATGAAAATATCCGCGCCTCGGACATGCGAGTACATGTTCATTATTTCCATACAGAGCGCTTTGAATTTGTGCCTTGTCTACTCCAAGATGAGCCCAGCATACTGCACACACGGTGCGTGAAACCTCGACGGAATCAATTCGCGCCGGTGCCGCCATATCCCCTGAAAATCTTTGTATTCTACGCGTTCGTACGTGCATTCGTTATCAGCCTCTACCATCAGATGCACGTAGCTGCTCCCTTCATGCATGCATATCATATTTACATTTTACCTGCCCCGGCTAACGTAGGCGACGTCTTGTAATTGTCAGCAAATTCAAATTCCGGCGTGGAATGTGAAAACAAGTTGGTAACAAAAGCTCTGCTCCGCTCAGCAGCGTTGTTCTTTTAAGGATGTTTCCTATTTGTGCGGTGCGTGTCGTTTAGTCTAGTCTCTACTCTGGTTTGGAGCTTTCGTTGTGTG